TTGTTACTTGCTGAGGGAAAATTAGTGTCAAAAAGTAGACCACATTTGAGATGACATGTATACTAATGGGAACACATAATCGTTGGTTTAGTCGAGATACAATTTACATACTTTTATTACTTAATTTTGTAACATATATATCTTGAGTTTAATTTTTTTATTTTTAGAAATTAATGTAAAGTAATTGTTTAGCATATTTTATATCGTTCCCATTGATTATTATTTAAATAAAAATCATAGAAATTGAAAAGGTATACAGTTTAAAAATAAACAAATATAATATTGTTTGTAATGTCATATTGTAATTTGAATCTATAAAAAAATTAATTCTTAATTACGTTAATAATTATAAATATAATTTTTTAATCTATGAGATTACCATATTTGTAATAAAAAATTGTAATAAATAGTTAATAATAAATTTTCTTTTTTTAAATAATTTATAAATAATTAATACTAATCAAATATTTCCATATGTTAATTTATTACGATATATATTTATTCATAATAAGTTAAAACACACAAGTGTTACTATTTTACTAAATAAAAATAATTGTATTGTATGTAATAAAAATAATTTAGTTCCTTCAAATTTATACAAAAACCTTCAAAAATATATCCACAAATATTATCAAGTAGCAATACAATTATTATTTATTTATTTTGTTATCCTTCAATGAATTCTTTTCAATTCACTTGCATCTGTTGGTTGCAAGTGAAAGACATATTATATGCATATGACTGTGAGAAAACGTTGGAAAAATATGTAAGAATTATTACGAACTTCTCCATGTCTATTACACGCGATACCATTAATAACGGGTGTACTAAACGTATAATATAAGAAGTAAAAGTATCACGAACTTATTTACACGGTTAACTGGATATTCAAGCGTAAGATTCAGTATGAGACAAACGAGGTGACGCCTCTTGGTGGCGAAACATGTTGGTGAAGGTGCACGCAAACGACACAACTGTGACGATGAAGGAAGACACACGCCTTATAAATAAGCCGTGAAAAAAAAAAAATACAAAGAAATAAAGAAAAATGAACGGGGTGAAAGAGTGTGTGGGGGCGGGGTTCGTAAATTGAAGTGTTTGTTGTGTTCCTCGTTAATGCAATCGATAAATCATTTTCTTTTCAATTTTCTGTCATCCCTCGAACCCCCTTACCCATCCCATCGAATGAGAAAATAAATGCTTGAGATTTACAATGAGTTTAATTTTTTGTGTCAAAAAAAAAAAAAAGATAAGTTATGATAAATATTTATTTAAATCACGTGTGATTCTATCTACGTAAAACACATACGTACACGTGAAAAATCACACTTGAGAGATTGGTTACGTAAGTGCAAGGGATGGTTACCGAGAAGTACCATATTTGGATTCTTCTATTTAAGTTCAGACATACCTTGAACTAATCTACGAGTTAATTACCTATTCCAAACACGACGAACGCAATTTATGTTAATTTTATGGATTGAGAAAACCATTAGTTTTCTTTCTTTCTTTTTTTTTTTGTTTTTACTACTCAATTTTCTCATTCTCGTTGAACGTATTATTTCTTGATAATTATTATATCAATATTATTTGTAATATTGTATTTATTGAAAATATTCTTTCATTATTTTGTACATTTTATTTTAAATATTGTTTATGTTTGATTTGTAGTATCTTCTAATTATTTAAATGTTGTTTGTTTTATGCATTTTATTCTTAATATTGTTTATATTTGAATTGTAATATTTTCTAATTATTTAATTATTATGTAATATTATTGTATATATAAGGAATAATTTTTTTTTATTTTTTTTTATTAAAAATTAACGAAAATTTATTTATTATTATTATTTTTTTTTTTAAATAAAATATATTAAAAATTTTATTGGAGTTATTGGTTTTTGTTAAATTATTATTTTTTAAAGGACCTTCAAAAGTTGTAAACTGTAATTGCACTTAAAGAAGGGATTGTAAAACTGCCCACAGTCCATCGTACGGTCGATCGCACGCCCACGACGACCTCGAGGAATCTTAGAGGTCAAAGACTTCTTACGTCCTGCACGAGCTAACCTCTCACGAACATTGAATCCCTTTTATATTTCACGACAAATTGTTTTTGTGGCCCTTAATCGTATCATTTTATTATTATTGATTAATATTGAAAAACAATTTTGAATGTATTTTTTTATATTTTATACAAATTATATAACAATAATTATTGTATTAAAAAAAAAATTCGAAATACATACACGCGATTTGATAATTACAGAAGATGATTAATGAATCATTTAAATAATATTTCAATCTTTTATTATGTAAGGATAATCGATTTCTCATTAAGGAAGTTTCAAAACTTTGTGAAATTTCTTTTTTTACGATTTCGCTTTCTTTTTACTTTCTTTTCGGGTTTTACAAGTAATAATTTACATAAAAATGTAAATTGGCAAGATCGATGAAATTGAAAAGAGTGAAACCAAACCAATAAAAAATTATAGTCATCGTCATTTTGTTTACAGAATAGCCCAACATTTCTTAGAATTACAATTCTTACAATTTTCAATTTTACAATTTCGATGAACTATGAACAATTTTACAATCCTTTCTTAAACAATTACAATTCGATAATATTGAAAATTACTTAGAAAAACAATTTAAAAAAATTCAATGCCAATAAACAAACAATTTTACTCTCATCGCAAATAAATGACATTGATATTGTAATTAAAAATAAATATATAAAAAAAAAAGAAAAAAATAATAATAAAACGATTTATTTCGATATTTAACCTAACCGTTCTAATTATCACAAATAATGTTCATAAATCTTATAGGTTATCGATCGCCCGAGGATCATTGTAATCTTTATCGATCTACGTAAATCGATAATTGTCTTTAGATCATTTTTCATCCGTGATTTTATTCATCTTCCAATCGTTCCGCACCTCCTTCGTCCTTTCACGATTTATTCCGATGATTAGAATAAACGATATAAGCATCGATAAATGTAAATAAAGACGTGGACAATTATAAAAAAAAATTATTAATACCAAAAACAAAATAAAAGTACAAGGATCAAACATGTGTCATAAAGATTTGTTTATCTTCACACGAATCTATCTTCACATTTAGAATGTAAAATCATTTCTATAAGCACATTATCTTATATATACAATATATACTTAAGTTTTTCATTGATAGTTTCGAGAATAGGACGATGAAGATGAAACAACTGGAAGAGGAAGGATATTAATCGTAAATCGAACCAATCGTTTGTATCCTTTCAGTTAAAGTATTCGCGATACTGATTGTTAGTCTATTATCTATAAATGGAAGGAAGCAATTGTGATCCGTTAAGGATACGTTTATTTGCTTATGAAATATGTATAAGGTGAACGATACTATCAGGAATATCTATTTGTTAAATTTACAAATTATAAAAATAATTATTTGTTAGGTAAAATATAATTCGAAAGGAAAAAATATAATATTATAATAAAATATTAAAATAAATAAATATTATTTAAGAAGATATAAAATATTACAATTTACAAAAATTACTTTCAACTATTATTACACTACTACTAAACATTATAATAAAAAAAATATTATTAATAAATATACCAAAGATAAAAATTAGTACTTATTTCAAAATTCTAATAAAAAATAATATACTATTACAACAATCATACATAATACAATAAATACTATACAAATAATAAAACTAATTCCAATACTACATAATTATTTGATAATCAATTGAACAAATCAATAAATAAATGTCCAATTGTTTGAGTAATAAGGTTCACCCTGTATATCTTGGTATACGCGTGTATATGCATCTCCCCCTTTCTATCTTGTACTCGTGCGATCCTCGTAAGAAGAAGGCTGCGAGTCCGGTCACATAACGGTCCAGTTATGGTATGGCAAGGAAGTGATCTCTCGCCTCGACACACGATTCCTTCGTTACACGAACGTGTATAACCCCTTCTATCTCATCCTCCTTCCCCTATCCTTTTTCTCTTCCTCATCCTTATCCTTATCCTCCTCTGCTTCTTCTACATCTTCTTCTCTTTCTTCCTATTTGGCATGTCCTTCTCCCACTCGTTACTCGTTATCTACAATTTATTTTTGTTCTTCTTCATATTCATCTTCACCTTCACCTTCAACTTCATCTTCTTCCTCTTCATCCTCACCTAAATCTTCATCTTCATCTTCATCTTCAACTTCAACTTCAATTTCAACTTTAACTTTAACTTTATCACATCTTCAATTCCAACTTCAACTGTAACTTTAACTTTAATTTTACCTCATCTTGAATTTTAACTTCAACTTTAACTCAATTTCAACTTCAACTTTAATTTCAACTTCAGCTTTAACTGTAACTTTAACTTTACTTTATATTCAATTTCAACTTCAACTTCAACTTTAACTTTAACTTTAACTTTAACTCAATTTCAACTTCAACTTTAACTTTAACTCAATTTCAACTTCAACTTTAACTTCAACTTCAGCTCTAACTGTAACTTTAACTTTACTTTATATTCAATTTCAACTTCAACTTTAACTTTAACTTTAACTTTAACTTTAACTTTAACTCAATTTCAACTTCAACTTTAACTTTAACTCTAACTCAATTTCAACTTCAACTTTAACTTTATCTTCATCTTCATCTTTATCTCTTTCTTGTTCTTCCCATTTTACCACTAATCCTTTCAGCATGTACTCGCACGTGTATTCACGCCTCGACAAGCTTTTTTCGCAAGCTATTTTTTTACAAGCAAATACGTACAAGCACGAACGATCGTTAAGCATCGTCACGCTCTAAGTCCTCGTGTTCGTACGTCGAACTTATAAAGAATTTAAATCCATTTCAAAGATATATTTTATTTTATTATTTTTTTATTATTATTATATTATTTATTTATTTATTATAAATAAATCAACGTATGGTATATCGTATAAAATACATTAATTGTAAAACAACAATAAATAAAACTCACCAATTCGGTAGGCATTGTATTGCAGGATCTCAAAGGCAGATTGTAAGTTATCGGTGAAGGTTGACTTCTGTATTCCTGCAGGCAGGAACTATTTTTCGACAAACCCCGGGGATAAACCAAACCGTGAAAATCGGTTTTACCCTCGGTCGAAATGTGCACGATTATTGATTCGCTCGCGCACTCGATTTGCACTGTGCTCGCTATCGCCACGGTTGCTGTAAATCAAAAAATCAAAAAAGTTGTATCAATGATTAAATAAAACGTTTCCAGTCAAAAGTATGCGTAATTAAAAATAATCATAAAGAATTAAAAAAAGAAACAATCATTATATGTAATTGAAAACAATAAATCAATTTAATTTCAATTTAAAAAGATATTACATTACTGTATATACAGGGTGACCAATATAAATGGGAAACACACACACACACAATCGTATTACCATAATCCTTTGAATACTATGAACGTGTATTGGGATCTCTGGCTGATGCGTGGCGTAGCAATTCCACCTATTTACTCTAATTTTGAATTTAGCCACCAGATAGCGTATTCAAGTGCTAGAGATCCCAAGGGATCTTTGGCAGGGGCGTGGCGTAGCAATTCGACCTATCTACTCTAATTTTGAATTTACCCACCAGATAGCGTATTCTCAAGTGCTAGAGATTCCAAAATGCCTTTGGTAAATGTTTTCAACGCATATACGTGTTTGTCGACATAAATGTAAATAATGTAACATTGTTTTCTGTATTGATTATTAAAATTATGTAAGAAATAAAGACTTTAATTATTAAATATTACAAATAATTTATTATTAGACACGATTAGTAAAATCAATCAATGAAACAAACACATTAATAATAAAGTAATTCCACCCCTATTAAACATTTCATCAAAAAGTATTAAGTACTCAAAAAGGCTAACAAACTTCAAAAGAAAATAGTTGTATTATTTGATAAGATTGCAAATCTAATAGTCAAAATAATTTTGTAGTTACTTATAAGTCATACTATTGTTTTATTTTGTAGATAAAAAAAAAACAATTTTGTATAAAAAGAAAATAAAAAAATACATTGATCATTAATTAACATTTGTTTTATTATTTTTTCAAAGATTGGTATATTATATTGAATTTTAATTAAAAAAAAAATAAATAAATTAAGTATCCATCATATCAAAAAAGGATTAACAATAAGCAAAAACGCATAATTTCTGCATCGATATTAATTAAAAGGACGAGCACGAATCGCACGTTCATCTGATGCGCTAATGCGAAGCTAATTTCGTTTAATGGGTAACACCATACGTATTCTGTAAAATTAATATAACGGTAGAAGCACGGATCGAAGGATCAATTAAATCACCTTACTCTACCATCGGCCATTGTTCACCACTCTCACACGATCTACAGATCGTACAACGTAGATCCTTGTGAACGTGATCGACAAATTTTTAATTAATATTCTATATATAGAGAGAAAATATTCTTCTTCGTCTTTTATTATATAGCGAAATAATTTTTAATACATATTATTATTTAAAGTATTAGAGAGTTTTTATTTAAAAAGAAAAATAATATTTTTAATAATTACTTATTATTAAAAAATATTATTCGAAACTATATTTATATAAGTACATTTTGTTGATAATTCATATTAATATTGTATTAATTTATATGTAAGACCTATTTTTAATAAATATTATTATTTATCATGTATTAGTTTTTATTTACAAAAAAAAAAACCAAAATACTATTCAAAATTATATTTATATACGTATATTATTTTTTGATAATTATTTTGATATTATATAATATTATACTAAATATATGTCATATTAATTTATATAAAAAATAAATATGAAATATTTAAATATTTTTTCCCCTAATTTTAGACTGATTTTAATTTTGATATATTTTATAAAAATATTTGAACTGTATATATCTTTATCATTCTCTTTTAACAGGTTTGAAAAGGAATTTCCTTTCTCTTTTTAAATTATAAATTATAAAATATAAATTTAATTATAAATAAATATAAATTTAATAATATAATAGTATAATATATCTTTATATATAAAAATTCAGTGTCACATTTATTGCTAATTTAAGCATTTTTATTATTTAGAGGTTATCTAAGTCTTTAGGTTCTGAAACTTTCCAATAGATGACACTGTAATAGAATTCAATTATTTCGCTGTATTCACGTCATACTTTTCTTTCAGATTTACATATGACATAACTAATATTACTTTTTCTATTTTTTTGTGTATTATTACATTATTTATTCCATTCTAATTGTGATATTATTTTGTGTGTTATTATAATTTACTAAATAGTTTAGAATTATATTAAATCACAACATTTTACAATAAAACTACAGCAACAAGTATTCGTATACTCCTAGTATAATATAAATTTTAATTATGGAAAAATAAATATAATTTATTTATATTCTAAATATATATGTTTCATTCTCTAAACAATAAGAAAAAGATTCCCTAACCTTGAATTTTTAATTATGTACAAGAATAAGATTAAAAATCTAAATCCGTATTCGTTAACCCGTAACCAATTACCACTGCAAACTAAATAAAATAAAAAAATAAAAAATCATCGAAGTAAAATAAAATGAAATAAAAAACAAAAAAAAAAACAAAAAAATAATCTTATCTCTCTTACTGTCAGCCATGAAATATAACGGTTGGTAAGTTTAAAACGGAATTTACAGAACGGGAGCTGTTTGTCTTTCGAGTTAGTAGTCACGAAACCTTTTACAGTGTTGTCTTTCTTTCTTTTTTTTTTTCTTTCTTTCTTTCTTTCTCGTCTATACGTGCGATGAAAATCGAGCAATGAAAATGAATTGAATAGGAAATCGGTCTCTCGTTACATTTCTAAACGCAATAGTAATCGTGACATTTGAAAACGTCAAATGTCTATCTATTTACTACCGGAATTTCTTAACTGGAATTCTTCGTTTAATAATAAGAATCATCGGTCGTATTATCATTATCATTGAGCCACGGAGACAATGATGAGATAGTCATGAACTTGACTTTAGTGTCGTTCGAGTCAGTCACGACAAGACAATCCTTACCATTATATTATCTTTTTTTTTCTTCTTACTTTCGTTCTTTCTTTTTTTCTTTTTGATATTATAGTTCAATTTATTTTTCATATTAATATATATATATATTTTTTTTTTATTCTTTAATATAAATATTTCCTAACTTTTGATATAATATATCAAAACAATTAATATTAAATTATTATATATAATTTTAACTATATGATTAATTAACATATTATAAAATATTAATTTATATTATATATAAATATAATTTATTATTTATATTTATATATAATATAATTTTTATTTATATATAATTTATATATAAATATAAGTATTATTTTATTAAATTTATTATAAATAATANTAATATTATAATAAAAATAATTTTATATTTATTTATAATATTATTTATATATAATTTAATTTAATATTATAATATAAAATATATATATATATATAATAATAATAATAAAATTTTTAATTACCTAATATATTATATATAATATATTATTAATAAAAAAAATTGATTTTTAATATAAAATAGAATACTGATATTATATTTATTTTTATATTGATATTAAATATAAAAGTAGAATATTAATATTATATTTATTTTTAAATATAAACAAGAAAATATCAATTTACTATTAAAATACGGTAGATGAAATTGAAAAAAAAAAAAAAATCTGGTTGTAAGATGATTCAAAAATACGTCACGTCGATTATTTAAAATAATTCTCATGATATTCTAATTCTCATTGGTAACTGGTAAAATGAAGAAAAAGAAAAGAACAGTAAGAAAGTAGCAATTATCTGCACGCTAAAAGTTCAAAACACGTTCTCGTGGTAAATGGAAAAGAATGGGGAGGAAGATGAAATAAGAAGAAAAAGAAATGAACAAAATTATACGAGACAATCGGAGTCACTTTGAGCCCAAGTAGGCGCCATTTGTGAAAATATTAGAGTAGGACCCAACATGGGACCGAAGTGGGACCGAAAAGGGACTTGTTTGTGATACAAGAATCTGCAGGTTCATTGACCGGCCACTTCACTACTCTTCCTTCTTTTCCTTTTCTTCTTCCTCTTCTTCTTCCTCTTTTTCTTCTTCATCAACTTCTTCTTGATCATCTTCCTCATCTCTTTTATACTTTCATACGATTATTTTGGTATCTCGATATCATTCGTATAACGGTCCCCCAAAATGAACAGGAATAATTAAAAGAGAAAAAAAAATTAAAAGATGGAGAATAATTTGTAAAAAATGATCTTTAAATATTTTGTCTTTGATTTTCTTTTTGTATCATTCGATTTGTTTGTTTTTTTTTTTAAATAAAATATTTATTTAATCTTCAATATATTCTTTATTTTTTTTCCCCGAGAAATACTTTTATCATTTAATTTCAATATCATTAAATTAATAATCATTTAATTTAATTTATCTTTTATTTATTCCATTTGTTAATATTTTTCACTTATTTTGTTCTAATTACACGTTCCGTGCCACGTGTACCATCGGTGGTACACGTTAAACTTGTTCTTTAGGCCACGTGTACCACCGGTGGTACACTTACTATTCGACATATTTATTTAATGCGCTGAAAATATATGTTTATAATATATTTAATTTTGTAAAAAAATATTCCTATTTAAATATTGATGCATTATACAAAATACAGTATAGAACAAAGCACATAAGTTTGTTTAATTGTTATATTTACAATAATTTATAATTATATGTAATTGTTGATTTTGTTAAAGCAAAATTAAATAGCCTGAGTGACAAGTCAGGTAAAAAGGGCTTGGCACGGAACATGTTAATCTTGTTTTCTAATAAAATATTTATTTAATCCTCAATATATTCTTTATTTTTGGTCTGAAATATTTTTATTATTTGTATTATACATTTTGTTTATAATTTATTCCATTTATTAATATTTTTCATTTATTTCATTCTATTTTCTTTTTAAATATAAAATAACCAATTAATATCTTCTTTTTCTTTTCCGAAATATTTTGATTGTTCAAACATTTTTTGTTTATAATTAATTCGAGATAAAATTAAACTGCTAGTATAATTAAATTCATTAAAATTGATTTATGAATTCACGTACAATTTAATAATTAGAATAATGCAAATTAATCTTAAT